TGAGTCGGGCCGCACTCTCTGACCGGCTGTGGGACTCCTTCCGGCAGCGTCGTTTAGCCTACACCAACTTCTACTCGTTAGCTTTTCAAAACCAAGCCTTCACCCAGGTCTGCTCCCTGCTGCTCTTCGTACTGGTGCTCAAGGTGAAGGAAAGATGCTCGTATTCTGGTTCTGGTACTCAGGATTATAGTCGTCGCTTTGTGCGTAGCCTGTGATGAATCTCACTGTCACCTTTGACCTCTTCAGGCCTCCCACCAGTTGCGTTTCCTGCGGGAATGGACAGTCTTTGGTAGGACCCTCCAGCGTTCAGCCTGGGAGCTGCTGGCCGTGGCCATGGTCCTCCTAGTGCTACTGCTAGCATACTCACATGCCGGACGCTTGGTAGGAACCAAATGCCTGGTACACTACCCCACACATGGTAGACCATCTTATCCCTGATGTCATCCTGACCCCATGACCCTCCTTCACTTATTATTCAAAGCGAAGTATGAATTTTATATATTTGAGTACTGTCATGAAGGGACATGTTGATTGTGTTGAGGGCTTTTGTTAGTTGTGACAGGTGAGAGGGCTGGGCTTTTGAGTCAGTACTATCGACCATTAATGACTCAGTGTGATATTAGAATGAAGAAGCTTCACTGTGTCAGTCTATCGCAGGGGATCATATGCACCAAAGTCTGTCATCAACAAGCCCATACACAATGAACTGTCATCAACATGAACAAAAGTCAGTCACCAAGAAATGCTGTCAGAATTATTGGTCATCAACACAGACACAACATAGTCATCAACAGAAAAAACAATCTGTCATCAACAAGTACAGACTCAAAGAACAGTTAGCAACACACATATACAGCACAGTGATCAAGAGAAACAAGTCTTGTCATCAGCAAACGTCGACACAACTGTCAACGCACAGACACAATAGTCATCAAATCTGTCCTCAACACAGACAAAATGTTGTCAACACACAGACACAACATAGTAATACAACAGAAAGAATGATCTGTCGTAAACAAGCATGGACTCAAAGAACTGTCAGCAACACACAGATACAGCATAGAGATCAAGAGAAACAAGTCTTGTCATCAACAAACACTGACACAATGAACTGTCATCAACCCACAGAAAACTGTCATCAAGTCTGTCATTGACAAAGGCAGATTCAAAGAGCTATCAGCACACAGACACAACATCACTAAACACAGAAAACATACCGTAACTATTAGACACAGACAGTTATGGCAGTTACCCAATTTCTCACTCTCCTTCCCCCTTTTATCCCACACAGCTATTCCACTCATCCCAGGAGGGCCTTGATGGTGTGTCCACAGTCTGCCTGTCCCTGCTGGGCATGGGACACAGCCTACCCCCGGCACACTCCGCTGACTACCTGGCGTACTGCTGGAGCTTTGCTGTGCTGCGTCTGGGCCTGCTGTGGCTGCTCGTGTCGGCGCTGCTGCGCGGCTACTGTCACGCACGTGCCGAGTTGTACCGGCCTGCTGTAGAGCCACAGGCATACGAGATGGTGGACCTCTTCCTCCGGCGCCTCAAGATGTGGATGGGCCTCAGCAGAGCCAAGGAGGTTGGTGCTATCCCTTTAACACATCTTTCTGTGGCTTAATAACCTGTGAAGCTGCAATGAGAGTTTCTTGGTAACGAGGGGGGTTACAGACGTAGTTGGGCTGTGCACAGCTCATAGACCTCTGATTGACTTTTTCCTGTCCCTTCCCTCTGTGTTCCCCCCCAGTTCCGTCACAAGGTTCGCTTTGAGGGTATGGACCTACCCCCTTCCCGATCTTCCTCCACCAGTGACTGCAAGTCCCTCTGCCTGCCACCCCCAGACACCCCCGAGGCACCCCCCACTCCAGATAGCGTGGACGCCAGCTCAGAGACCTCATGGCAGGCCGTCTCCTGTAGCCCTTGCAGCCTGGGGGAGGTTGGCACAGGTGTGCCAGGTGGGGCAGCCTGGCGGGAGCGGGCTGAGGTGGAGGCCACTCTGAGGCGACTGCTACCCGCATTTGATGCCCTGCTGCAGCAGCTGGACCGGGTCACGCGGGCCACTGAGGAGCTATACTGTGTTGAATGCCAGCTTGAGCAAGCCCAGCGTCAGAGCTGCACACGAAAACGGAACCAGGACAGGGACCAGGGTGCGGACAGAAAGCGGGATCGGTCCTCGAGGCAGCACAGCCGGAGAGATTCCGCTGGACGGAAGAGTCATGGCAAGGGCTGCCATAAGAGCCGGCTGTCTGAAACCGGTCCCAACAGCTGCAGGCCAAATGCGAACCCAGACCCCGCTCCTGCCACGCCACGGCGTGAATGGGAGAACCAGGCAGAGGGCGAGATTGCCCCATCCAGCCTATTCCGGCACCCAGCACATACCACTACCATCCCCACACGCAAGCGTAGGCCCACGCCACTGAAGAACAAGGTGCACCCCAACAAAGATGTACATGTGTCGGGCCACCCTCGACTCTGAGGCACCACCCCCCGGGATGCAAAGATTAGAGGGAATGCCCCGTCCTCGAGTCGTTTTGAGAACATGAGGCTGCCGGGTGACAGCAGGCTTTGTCACCCAGGAGGTCCAGCAAGTCGCTGAACGGAGGGCAGCCAAGCACAGGTTTCAGGACTTTGGAAAGACAGGCTTACATGCGTCAGGTACAGGGAAGCACACGATCCGTCATGCCCAGTAGGTGTTGATGAACACCTGCCGCCCAGTCGGCATGGCAACAAGGTGCAGGTCGCCAACACCACCCGCAATTCTCCAACCCCCCCCACCCCCACACCCATTTCACCAGCCCTGGAGGCTGGTTGAGGGATCGACAAGGCATGAATCATGCTTCAAGAGAAAATGAGTGACATTGATGATTATTAATTAGAAGTTTGTCCAGTGTGTTGCTGGTTGTGTGCGTTTATAAGGAGACTGCAGGTAGACAGCAGTCGCAATCTGTACATACATTCAGAAACATGTATTATGCACTAACAGGAACTTTGCAGTACACTACATAAGTACAGCTTACCAGAGCTTGCCATTGCTTCGCCTCATGTTTACTTTATCCAGTCAAGGTGTATGTTTCGGCAGGGAGGTACCAAAGGTACGAAGCAGCTCTGGGGGGGGTGGGGGGCTGGGAGTGTAGACTAGGAAGGTGGGAGATACACCCTAGCAGGAACCACCTTAGTGTCTCCCAAACAGATGCTCAGAAAAATGCAGGACCATGCCAACTTTGGGGGGGGGGGGGGGGCAAACTAACGAGGCAGCAGGCGACTGGGTTGAGAAGCATGGCAGTCTCACAGAACCCCAGGCTGCCCTGGCACGGGCCATTCAGAGAGACGTTGGCGGGCCCCGCGGCCAGAGGCACCAGCATGCCGGTGTCTCTAAAGACGCTTCTCAGCTGATCTTAAAGCACTTTCTAGTACGATAAGCTTGGTACAGGTGCAGGCGAAGCTGTCCGGCCTCACAGCGGCCACACGGAACACTGCACCCCCCGTGTTATTTCTGTCCGGTTGCTGCCAAAGCTTGCGCATCACTTAACAGCCAGAAAAGTCCTTAAGTTAATTTTTTTTTTACCTTGCACTTTATTTGTATGTGAAGCTGTTATGATGCCATATATTATCAGTTTATGTCGATTTAAAAAAACCTATACAGAATTATCCTTCTTTTGTATTATTCATGAAGTGCTTCAGGATATTTAACGACTTCCACTTGTTTTTTCCCTTCATTTTGCGTTTGACGGAACGCTAACCGCCAGCGTGCTTCTATTCCCAGAAATGTTTACTGTCACTTTTCTTCTCAGGGACCCTAACCCCCCCACGCCCCCTCCCAAATCGAGGGATTTGTTTTGATTTGTAACCAAAGAATGACAGCTTATTTTTTGTTAAGCATGGGAGTAGGCAAGAAATGTTCTCATTGTGTCCACATCCCAGGCTGCAGTAGATCATTTTGTCCGGATGCTTTGTCAGAATATGGCCCCGCACAAGCCCCACCCCCCAGCCAGCTGTGCCCCAAACAGCCAATGGGGGGGCAGCACTTGCAATTAGTCTTTCCTCTGCTTTATGTCACTGAAGCAGTTACAATCATTGTATCTTTTATTATTACTGCTAAGTTAACTTTTTTTTAGTCCAATGTAAATATGTACATATTGTGGAATGCTGTAAATATTTATTTTTCTTACATTGGCTATAAGGTCGCAGCACTGATTTCAGTATCCTTCCTGGGACAGCATGGGGCTGCTTCCATGGTAACGCACGCTAAAGAAGTGCCTTTTCTTTACTGGAGACAGTCAGCGTCACGTGGCTGGAGGTCCTCTCACTGCAACCCACAGACCTGTACCTCTGGAAACCCATAAGCCATTACACACATTATCACCCTTCTTTACAGCACTTGTCCTAGTATTTGGTACTGAAGAACGACTTAGTCAGCGTCATAGGTCCAAATGGTACAGCACCGTGGTTCTAATGGCCAGCGGGCACACATTGTTCTGTTTGTACTGCTTTCATACGATGCTCAATCAGTGTATATAAAATATATGTATCAGGGAGTTAAATGGAAGATGAGGCCTGACCTGAAAGCCTTAATGAACACATCGCCCCCCCTCAGGTGGAGATGGTCGCCGCCCCCGCCCTACAAGGCACACCTGCTGTCGTCAAAGTGCAGACCAGGAACACATCCCTCCCCGTCACACCGTCCAATCAGATTGTGCCAAAGCCTGCATGCATGCTGCATGTACAGCATTTAACGTCTTATTATGGCACCGGCGGGTTTTCGCCGCTGTTATGCGTTTCGTCTGTTTTTCGTCTTGAGCTCGTCTTGTCTGTAGCACTCCACATGCTTCTGCACTTGACAAAGTCAAATAAAGAGTTTGACAGCTACGTCTGCCCTCTCACGTCTCGCTGAAATGGGGGGGTGGGATCCCACCGGAACATGGACCGAGGAGAAATGCAGACTGGCAGCACATTCAAGCAGACATACACAAAGATTACATCCATCTGAGAGACACAAAGGCTGGCTGCTCATCTTTATTCATGTTTACATACAGTCACTCCCCCTCCCCACTGGTTACATTATGGTCACATGACTGAGCAGTTTACCATTTGTTTTAAAAACTCTGTATGGAGGGCCCATTGGCAAAAGGAGCCTGGCGACCTGCCCCCATGCCAACGGTGCCACTTAAAACATCCTTCGCATTTGATACTGACTGATAAAGGGGGTGGGGGATGGTGGTAGCCATGGCAACATAGATCCAGTCTATAGGGTACTGTCAAACTGTGTGAGTCAAAGTCATGTGGGATGTTACATACTGCCCCACCCCTAACCCCTCACACTGCCACCAGCATCACTCAGCAGGGATTTAACGGGAAAAGGAAGAGGTCAAAGCTCATGAGGGAACCTCCCAGACTCCAACAGGAAAAGGGGGAGGCCAAGGGGCACCAGGGAGGCCCCAAACTCAAACAAAGTCAGTGAAATCATCAACAGTGGATACCAGTCGCTTTCTCTGGCCCGATTCAGGGTTGGGTGCGGCGCCGCCCTGCTGGTAGGATGACGACTTGCTCTGCATGGAGCCATGGCTTTGGGTCAGGGAGATCCCTGGTTGGGGCCGGGACTGAATCTCCTCCTGGGCCTGCAGGGGATGTGGGTGGAGGGGGGGCAGGGGATGTGGGTGGAGGGGGGGCAGTGGAGGGCAGCCAAATAGAAAGAAAGAGAGGGAATGCTGTAAAGGTACAGCTGTAAGAAGTGAGGGACGGAGGGAGGTAGCATCTGCCCCTGGGGCTGCGGGACGTCTTACGCGTGTGCGGATCTTCTTGATGTGCCTCAGTCTCGCCAGCCATTTGGAGGCGTAGGCCTCAGAAGGGTTCGAGCGGTGCTGGTGCACGAGTGACGCCATCTGAGGAAAGAGCGGAAGATGACAAAGGAGGTAAGGAGGGAATGGAGGAGGGACATGAGCAGGAGAGGAGGGAAAGGGACACGGGGTGTAGGTGTGAGGGCCAGCAACCTAGGGCCCGCAGAGTGTCAGAGAGCCCGTGGCTCCCTGGGGCCCGCAGAGTGTCAGAGAGCCCGTGGCTCCCCGGGGCCCGCAGAGTGTCAGAGAGCCCGTGGCTCCCCAGGCCCACTGGAGGGTCAGAGAGCCAGTTGCTCCACTGGGGCCTGCAAAGAGTCACAGAGCACCTGGAGGCTTCCCGATACATGCCAGGCTATTTTTGGAAAAGGAATTTTGTCAGTGAACTCATACACACTCCCCCATCTGCTAATGAAAGCAGGGTTTCTGTGATTTGCAGCTGTTTCCCTGCTCATCTCAGAGAAGGGGGATGGGCTGGGCACGGTCGGGGGGGGGGGCAGAGCTCCAGTGAGACTCTCTTCGCACACCGAACTGGAAAGGACTGGAACAAACCAGCGCAGACTGGGAGCAATCCACAGTGGGTGTGCATTGGAATACTGACGGGACAAGCAGGGCTGTGTTTTGGTGGTTAAAAAAGAACATGTACGAGAGTATATTTTCCTGTCTTCGGTGTGTCAACGGCCCATTCTGTAGCATAAGGTCACTTCCTGACAGGGCCGGCACACCCCCCCCCCCCCCCAAGATGGCCCTGCTGTCGGCAGCTGCGAATGCGGCGAAGGGAGACGGAGAAGAAGCTGTACTCACATCAGCATGCAGGGCCATTTGCCGCACCAGCAGTGGAAGGTTCCGGTCCGACACAATCTTAGCCACGCTGGTGTCCACTAGACCCTCCAGATCTGCAGAAATAAGAGCATGGAGAAGTAGATGCAGGTCCACACCTGAGCATGTGTGCATGCGAGTCACAGGAAGGCAGCCATTTGTAACAAACACAAGCTCATAGCTCAGACCCAGGCAACTGCTCTAACTGACACAGGGAGAACGCGTCAGCCCCACACGCGCATGGGGAGAACGCGTCAGCCCCACACGCGCATGGGGAGAACGCGTCAGCCCCACACGCGCATGGGGAGAACGCGTCAGCCCCACACAGAGGGTGAACACGCAAACCCCACATACAGAAGTACATGCAGAGGTGGGATTCGAACACCAACCCTGCAGATGCAAGGCTGCCCACTGAGCCACCCCAAATCCAATATAATGAAATGGCGTTCACGCTGTCCCACTCCCCTCTCCGCCCCCCTCTCCTGACACCACCCACTGGGGCCCCAACTCCGCCCAGAGCTCCTCCTTACCTTTCCGACACTGCAGGGTCACCAGGTTGCTCTCATAGTCCAGGGGTCGGATGATGACCTCTACGAAATTGAACTGGCCCTGCAGCGTGAGAGGGGGCCACATGAACTCTGGTGGGGTGTGTGTGTGTGTGTGTGTGTGTGGGGGGGGGTTTGTATGAGCAAACATGTCCGCTGAACTCACCCTGATGGTGCCCAGCTTGTACTCCTCTCCGGAGTCATTGTACACGACCATGACAAAGTCATTGCCGATGTGCCTCTTCTTATTGCAGCAGCCCTTATCCGACTCCCGTGTGGGCATCAGGGTGGCGATGTGGAAGATGGCTGGGGGCAGATAAACACGGATCTGTGCCGCCGTCTGGTACAAGGCCACGCCCATCCCAGCCCTGCCCACCGCCCCCTCTCACCCTGCATGATGTCGTCGTGCCAGCAGTAGGTGAACTCCCCATCGTCACCATAATGGTCCAGGCCCCCCAGGTAGATCTGGTCCGGTTCGCAGTCCTTCAGGTGGATGAGCTTGCCCAGCCCGGTCAGGAACTGGGTGTACCTGTTGGAGCCGTACTCGTTGGACAGGATCGAGGCTTCGTTGTTCACCTGCAGCAGCAAAGCGCCGTCAGAGGATGTGGACATGTTCAGCAAATGCACACTATTGTAAGCAAGACCCCCCCCAGTTACCTGTCCTGCTCCCACGAACACCACGCCGATCTTGTGCGTGTCATATGGGGGCATCTGATCCAGTACTTTGACAGTCCGGTCGATGAGCTGTCAGGAAAGTGCAGCATGCGCGTGAGGCTGGTGTGAGAACAGCCACACACGTTGGACAGAGGCGTCCAGGTCCAAGACAGCAGGCGTAAACGGCGGGACGGCCGCAAGCAGCGGACTGGGCCTCACCTCGGACTTGGGCAGCAGCAGCGGCTTGTTGGCCTCATTCCCGAAGAAGGGAGAGTGGAAAAGCTGAAGGAAGACAAAGCTGGAAAAGCGGATTGGCGTGTCAGCTAGCACTATGTCACAGACGTTAAGTGTGCCCCAACCCCACGACTCGAGTGCAATGGGGGTGAGGCGGTTTGATAAAGGTGCCGTTACACTGCTGGAACTTCTTTCTGGATTGTAGTTCATCAGAGGCAGTTTCAGAAACAGAACCCTTTTCTAGTACCTACTCCAGAACAGGTGCTTTTTGTTCGAACCCGATCTACTGGGGAGTTGCTTACAGCAATAGCTTGCTCATTAATGGACCACAAGCAAAAGCACTAACCTGGAAGTTACACGGAAGTGCAGAGAGAGATATAGTGGACCAAGAATGAGCAGGAGGAAGTATCTGTACTCCACTTACATTTAATGCATCAATTAATACATTTTCTGCTTGCATCTTCATATTTCTGCATTGGAAATTTCAGTCGCTGACCAATATACTTTTTGTTTCATATCGCCTACAAACGTGTCATAGCCTATAAACGTTTTGCATCTTCCATGGTTATTTAGCATAACGGTCCCAGTTCCTGATGTGAAAGCGACACAGGAAAGTGACCAGGAGTATGTCATTCCATTGTTTTGCTGATGGCATACAAGTGTATTTGCCATTAAAAACAAAATGCCAGAGTTCACTGCAACCATTGCTAGATTGTTTGAAAGAAGTCAAATATTGGCTCAGTTTAAACTTTTTTAACCTCAATGAAAACCGAGGTTGTTATGTTTGGTCAACCTGTGGCATTGGATAAGCTGAGCAGCTCTCTTGGCGATTCAATGCTACTCCAGTGGATTAAGCCAGCTGTTAAAAACCTTGGAGTGATTTTTGATAGTTCTTTTAAATTCAACAAACAGATCAGCTCCATCAACAAAACCATCTTTTTTCAGCCGAGACTCTCAGCCAAGGTAAAGGACTATTTACCAAGGAAAGATTTAGAGAAAGACGCTCGTGCTTTCATCTCCTGACACTTAGATTATTGTAATTCGTTGTATGTGGGCTTGGAACAATCATCTATATGCCGTTTGCAGCTAGTGCAGAATGCAGCCGCTCGTGTTCGCACAGGAGAGAAAATATGATCATATAACCCTGCTACTGGCATCTCGACATTGGCTTCCTGTTCAATTGATTTTAATACATTGTTGCTTGTTTTTAAGGCTCGAAATGGGCTGAGCTTGTTTGTCTGAGCTCCTTCGCCTTTGAACTCCAGCGCGAGCGTTAAGCTCAGCCAACCAGCTGCTCTGATTAGTACCGAGTAGCAGGTTCAGGAGTCGGGGTGACTCAGCTTTTGCGGTGGAGGCTCCTAAACTCTGAAATACGCTGCCAGTTGAGATTAAACGGCCCAGTCCTTAGATAAACTTAAGTCTCTATTAAAGACTCACTTTTTTCATTAGCTTTTAACGATTTGTGGCTGATGTGTTGAGATGCCAGTACCAGGCTTGGTTATAGTGTAGGACCCAATCCCTAAATCACCATGCTGATAGCTGGTCTGGATGGACGCCACACAACACCGGGGCCCACCTGGGATTGAGTCCGGAATTCTTCTCAGAGTTGGAAGAGGCGGCCCGGTTGTGGTAAGCGTCGCGCTCCATCTTCCTCTCACGACGGGAGGGGGCAGACACCGAGATGGTGTGCCCCCGAGGTCGGTGGCCCCCGGGGGAGAGGGGCCCCGGTTGGATGGCTGGGAACTCCAGCCTCATTCCCAATGTGGGGGCAGGGGCTTCCGGCTGGTCCGCCAGCTCCACTCGAGCCCCTGCCTCATCCTCGGGGGGCTGCCCCCCAGGGGCCTGCCCCCCAGGTCCCTCCATCAGGCCAGGGCCCTCTGCGAAGGCCTCCTGCAGGGTTTGGAGCTCTGGGGAGGAGCTTGATTTGTTCAGGGTCTGTGTTGGGTGGTAGTGGACTTCTGCTTCCGGCACCCCAGAGGTCGAGGGAGGGACAGGGGACTGGTCGATCGGAATGGCCCCCAAGCTCACCTCCTCCAGCGTAGACTTGTCCTCATCCTGGCTGGAGCTAGAAGAAGACTGGAGAAGCCAGAAAACCTTACATCGCTTCTACCATAATCTCGAGCCCCCTGAGTTACCTTAAATGAGGATAATTACCCCACCGGGACACTTATTACCCTGCTGTAGGGTCCCATTCCACTGCAGTGGTCTGTGCCGATGAAGATGGGCTCTGAAACACCTTCAAACTCCTCGCTTCCGGGGGACTGTGACAAGGACTCAGCACCCCCACCCTCCACGACGACCACAGAGTCTGCAGGGGTGTAGGACAACAGACAGCCAGGCGTGTGAGCGCAGCTCCAACAAACAGGCATATATACACACAGACAGACACTTGCAGAAACGGGACTTTGGTCCTCTAAGATGGTGGAGGGAGCTGGGAAAAGCACAGGACTGTCTGCTTCTGGTCCAGTCCGAGATAGTCGATGGAGCAGATCTGAATTCCTTCCTCTTCTGTTCTCTCATTTCCTTTGCTCCATCCAGTCATATGTACATATTCACATTATAGTCCAGTCTTCTCTCTCAGGTTCAAAGTGTCCTTTGCCCTCTAAACTCTATCTGTCAAAAAGTACTCTTCATCCTACAAACACGATCAAAGTTATGAGTCTGGATATCAAAGACCAATTGGTTGTTCCTCTTATCCTACCATCTCACGCTCCCCACACCCTGATCAGAAAGCCTTACCGCTAACAAAAATTAGCCGTCATTAAATCAAGGAGGTAGAATAAGTCAGGAGGGTCTAAATTATTCAGCTGCATCACCAGTCTGCCAGACCCCTGGACGGGGATGTCTTTCCACCAATTGATGCTGGGCGCTACTCCACGATAAAGAAAGTGGGCTTGGGGGGGGGCGGCATACACAAGGTTTTTCCCTACTACTCCCAATAAGACAAGAGGAAAACTTTGAATGCCCCTGCAAACACAAAGGAGTCCAGAAATAAAAAATAAATAAATGCAAGGTAAAAGAAAAACCATTTGCGTATGATCTACGTAAAAAGATCCAACTAATCCCTCCCGATCTGACTAACTCTTGAGTTCATAGGAGACCAGCGTCTCCATCCGAGTCTTCTTGACATTCCATCCATGTAACGGGCAGAGCTCCATATGTGGTCTTCAAAGTTCTCCTGGGGGTCACTCTCCAGTTGTTCCATGAGGTCGTTAAGACTGGTTCCCAGTCCTGATAATATGGCCAATAGGGCTCCAGTGGGCAGTGATACTTGACGTCTTCAGCATCCTCTGGCTGCAGAACCAAGAACCCACCCGAGTCCCGAACACACCCCCCACCGTGAGGCGAGTCAGCCATGCACACCAGTCGGGGGAGGGGGGCATCGGGCCACACAGAAGAGCACGCAAGCAGCCCCGCACCAGCATCCACACGGTTCTCCACCTTATCCAGGCACATGCCTTCAACACATGGCCACACTAAGAGGGCCGAAGCCCGGACCTCCTTCAGCAAGACGCCCACTGCCATCCCAGAAGCCAATGACAGGACACTGCCATTCCTGTGCTACGTGATTAAGGGCAAGAGCTCAAAATACAGGATTTTCCATGGAAGCTGCCTTAGAGGGACACCTGCCTCGCTTTGGGGGTGGGGGGGGGGGCGCCGTGCTGACATTAGGCCTCACTTTAGGTAGCCTTTCATCATGCGGTATTAGACCGTTCAGAAGCAGGTGGGCAGGCGTGCTGGGGGGGCGAAGGGTTAGAGGAATCATGGTGCCATGAATCATGAACAATCTCATCTGGATGGTTCATTGCTGTGATCCATTGGGGGGGGGGGGTGCTTTTTTCTCTCTTAATTCATTTTGATTCTGCTCTCTCTACACGCCAGCAGTGTTGATTCCGGTGTTAATGGTACGCAGAAGATCAACAGGCACGAGGAAAGGTGTGTACTTTGGGTATACCTGCCCAGGAAATACTCCTGTGTAACCTGGTGGGGGGGCCGGACAGGCAGAGAGAGGAGAGAGATGCCACTGTGGAGGAAGGGCAATCCCGTCGGAGGCGGGGGGGGGGGAAGAGGGGCGGAGACGGTACAAAACAAAGTGAGATAAAAAGGGCAGGCAAATATGGGTTTTACAAAGGAAGCAAAAAAAAAAAAAAAGCATTTTACACTGTTTTGGTGTGAAACTGCACATATGCAGCTGATTAACCTCAATGCAGTGGCACGGTACGTAAACACACACGTTCACAAAACACAACACAAACATAAAAACACAACGTTACGGACAGCGGGGGTCGGGGAGGGGGGGGGGGCATAGACCATTACAGAGCTTCAGCTGCCCAAGCAGGGCCCATGGAGCAGGGCATGCTGGGATAGGAAGCTGACGAAGTGCAGAACCATCGGCCATGGGTCACAGGAAAGGAGATCCCTCACAATCCCACAATCCTCCCCATAAAAGAAGTGGGTACATTCAGAAATAAAGACTATGAAATTTGACACACAATATTTCTGATCCTGGTGTGGCCCTAGTGGGCGGTAGGTGGGGCCAGAGGTGGGCGGGGCCACAAATGGGCGGGGCCATATGAGAGCAGGACCTACCTGTGATTGAGCGCTGCATGAGCATTGCCTTGTGGGTCGGTGGAGGGACGGCAGCGGCAGCAGGGGGAGGGCCAGGGGACTCGGGGGGGTCCGCGTCCGTCAGCCTCTCCATGGCCATCAGCACGCTAGACAGGTCCTGCAGGGGCATGTTGCCCAGCTCCGAGGAGAAGGGGCTGGGTGGGTTCTCCAGAGACATCAGCCAGCTGGTGTTACCTGCGTGGGGATGCAGACGGTCAGGCCCGGCTCAGGCCTGCCACCTGCGCGTCACTTAAGATGGCCAGCATGGCGCCCATGCCCACCTGAGGGCCTGCGGATGAAGATCTCAGCCCAGCCTTGCGTCAGCGCGGGCACAAATTCAGGCAGGTTCTGCTTGTCCCGGGGCGGCGGCCGCTGCGGCACTGTCACAGTCTCCTCACAGCGCAGGGATCCAAGCCCATCCAGGCCGGCAGCAGAGATCTCATCCGAGGGCGAGACCAGCGGACTCAGGCTCTGGGTGGGCCCGGCACGGAGGGCATGGCCACCTGGGGGAGGGGCAGGTAAGGCCCCTCAGTCTGAGCTGCCCCCCACCTCTACCATAAACCCCATTAACAACCAAACCATACCACTGACCCCCATTAACAATCAACTTGTACCTTTAACCCCAATTCACAACTATCTGGTACCATCAACCCCCTCAAGCCAAAACCAGGCAACACCAGCAAGCTGCAGGACTCGAACCCAGCCCTTGATACTGGGCTCTGCAGATCTAACAGGATCCTCTCATCACCAGTTGCACCCAGTGGATATTTGTGTCTTCAGTATAATGCTTGAAACGTGAATATGTGAAATTTAAGCTGCTTAACGGGGGCGTAAGGGTGGGGGTCTCTGACCATACAGTCATACCACCAATAGCACTGGTCTGCAAGGTTGTCCCGTGACACTTGGACTGGGACAGAGGTGGCAGAACCTACCGGACATGGAGCGGACCCGGATCCGCGTGGATCTGTTGACCTGCTGGCCAGACTGCGACTCCAGCTTGGCAGGGGCTTCTTTGGTGAGCCTCGTGTGAAGGGAGGGGTCTGACCTGAGGGCGGAGGGGGGGCAAAGCAGAGGAAGCCTGAAGAGAGGCTCCTGGGAGTGCGAAGGGGTGAGCACGTGTCTGTGTGTGTGTGTGTGTGTGTCTATGGACATGGATGTGAGCGAGACACAGACACAGACTGAGAGGCACTGAGGCACCTGGTCATCTCTCCGCCCCCAGGGCGCTCCACAGCGTCCATTCCCAGTAGCGTCTGTGTGCGCGTCCCCCCACTGGTCGTGATGGTCACCAACTTGTTACCCACCAGCCAAGTCATGCTGGGCCCCCCCGCCAGCAGGAACTCCGCAATGGGAGATCTGGGGGTGTTGGGCACAGGGGAAGAAGGGTGGCTCATTGATCCAATCCCTAGGAGGGCCAGGCCCTGCTCTCACACCCTTATGCTTAAACCCCCCCCCCCAATACGTGCGCAAGTGGCACAGTAGCGGCGGAACAATGACAGAACCAGGAAGGTGAGCGCCGACCTCTTGGGCAGAGCAGAGAAGTTGGAGAAGACGTAGCGGGCCATCATGTCCATGCAGGTCTCGGTCAGCTCCAGGTGCACAGTCTTCAGTCCGTCATCCACCTGCTGCGCCGCCGGGCTCTCGTCCGCAGAGCCCAGGCTGCTGGTGGTGATGGAGGTGTGCATCCTGCAGGGGGAGCCAGAGAGTCCTGGGAGACCGGCTGGGGGAGGGGCCGGGACTGATCCGCCAGGCTGAGCACCACCTCATGCACGCACACACACAGACATGCTTGGTACGAGCCAACCTCACAAGCCAGCACTGTCTGCTGAATTTTTGGCCTGATCCTGGGCAGCTGGAGGGGTGCCTGTGCCCACTAGAGGGGGCTATAGAGGTTGAACACTGCTTTTATTCATTAATATGCATAGTTAAATCCAAGCTAGGAGAATTAGCTAACACCAGTGCAGACAAAGACCAAAACATCACACTGACCTTCCTTTCACTATAGCCACCCTCCCCCCGAAAACACCCCCCCCCCCACCACCTCAGGATACAGGCGGTGTTATCTTTATATAACAATGTAACATTGGCTGGGGGCATAAAAGGGACCCCCACTGTAACAAATTCCCAGACTGTGACACTCCTCTCTCAATGAATGGGGGCAGATGAGGCTGTCCAGGCCAGATCGTACCAAGCGGTGCCAAGAGTCCACCACAGCACCCCCCCAGCAGGCTGAAAGTTGGTGTGAACCTAACAGTTCCTCTTGCCGTGGGGTACAGTCCTTACTGTGGCTCTTACTTCAGAAGTGGAGCTCTACATACTCCGGACCAGGACTGTCAACCACGCCAAGAGGACCTCGACCACGCCAAGCAGACACTGACCGCACCAATCGGACGACAGCCGCTTTCTATCATCGTTAATGTGTTACCGCCACCAATTCCAGTAATGCTCCTTTAATGCAGTCAGCAGGGACTGGGTAATGTTTCACCACCTTTCCCAGCATGCCTTGGCACCAAGAAGAGTGAGTATAGCGCTGGTCACGGGTAATCGGAAACAGTAAAGGTCTGGGAGGCTGCTGTAAGGCCAGGCAGAGGGCTGCCATCCCTCCACTAATCACTCCTTTCTGCCACCTGCTGGCCATTCAGAGTAAGGTCACCCAGGACAGCCAGGCCACCAGGGGCATTGTGGATTTGTGTCCTACATCCACTTCTTTGGACATACACCATACTCTGTAAGCATCTACAAAAGGCAGAAGAGTGTGGGTGGTTAAACATCACCTAACATGTCAGTGCCCTGGGGCACAGTGGGTAACTGCTCTAGACTCAGGTACCGACCAATTCCAGTGGCACAGGATTGCCATGTCTGTATGCCTTTACTGGGCCAACAGCTGGAATAAACTCTGAGGCAACAAGCAAGTCTAAAGAGCTGGAGGGAGCAGGGATTCCCCCTATGTGTTAGTGTGTCAAGTCCCCATTGCCCACCCCCAACCCCTGAAGCTGGGGTGGGGGGGTGGGAGCTGGTAGCAGTCAATCAGTGAAAGCTCTGCCCCCCATGACAGCTGCAATACATGCACTGCAAACAGAAAATAAATCTGGAATAAAATTATCATCTCCCAGGCTGTTTTTTTATACATTCATTAGAAAAAGAACCAAAAAAAGATAACCTTTCAGAAATCACGCATTATAATCACGCAAAATATATATTTGAAGTAGATGAGATGTGATTTAAAAGGCATCATGCAACAAAAAAAGTGAAGACACTCTTGAGCATGCAGACTCTCTGCATCCCAGCCCCGCCCATCGGAGTAGCAGCTGCCCCGCCCACCACCCAGAAACCCACGAGAGCGGCCCGCCCACAGGAAGCGGCGAGGTCGGGCGGGATCCCAGGGGCTCTACCTGCGCACCGCGTGCTCGGACACACTGATGCTTCGGGACCGGAAGGCGTCCATGGCCGAGACCTCCCTCAGCTCCTTAACGGGGGAGCTGCCAGCGGGGGCCTGCTTTGCCACTTTGGCTGTCCGGAGACTGCCGTGGGGTGGGGGACGGGGTTAGGGAGGGGGCAGGGTGCAGGGGCACACCCACAGCAACACCCCCCACAGAAAAAAAAATAATAATAATTACCACTCTGT